CTTTTAATGATATAAGTATTTCAAGCATGTTAAATGCACTCCCTCCCCCAGATAAGGTCTTGCTCTGGCTTGCCTGGAACTCTCCATGTAGGCAACGATAGTATCTTAAATGCTTTCTTACTTCCTGGCAGTTCCCTATCATTGACCCTTAAATTCATCACCATCTATAACAATAGAGGCTACTTTCTATCTGTATACCCAGAGAGCTGCCTCACCACCCTTTAGAAGGAGCAGAATCAGACCCTGCCTCTTTTCAAATGACCCTAATTGCTCAAAGTGAAGACATGGTGAAATAGAAACACTGGAAAATCTAGGTTTTTACAATCATCAAAAGCAGAATATAGTTCAGCTCCAATTAAATCATCTCATTCATCTAGCTTTTATGCCCAAACTAATCAATGTCCTTTTTTTTTTTTTTTTTTCCTTTTCTAGTTAAACTTGCTGTTTACTCAATGGTAGACTTACAAATAAATATATGGGGCTGAGAGATGGGTCAACAGTTAAGAGCATTGGCTGTTCTTCCAGAGAAATTGGGTTCAATTCCAGCACCCATTGGCATCACACAACTTGCAACTCTAGTTCCCCAGGATCTGACACCCTCACACCAATGCACACAAAATATACTTAAAATAAATTATTAAGAAAAAAGTATCAATATAAATATCTATTATTCTTAATTTTAAGTAGAAATTACACATTAGTATGCTAGAAATGGTATTTCAGTATAATTTTCTTAAGAGTTATGAAAACTAGGAATTTACATAAAAATCCTTCAAGCTTCACATTGCCCTCTTATGCAATGAAGTTGACCCATGAAATGTAGTTCATGGGTTTACTTTGCTAAAAGCTTTTTATTCATTCCCTAAGAACATTCCAGTTACAAATGAGTATAAAATTATCAATTAGCTTAGTCACAAATACTATGTTTTCCTATGTTTCTGTAGCCCACAAATTATATAAATTAAGTTCAACTCTCTCTTCAGAGTAAAAGAAGGTTCATTCTAAAATATTTTACAAATATCCAAAAGTTTTACTAGGTTTAATTTATAAAAATGAAGAATCTGGCTTGAGGATGGCTTTATCAGTACTTTTTCCTAAAGGACCCGAGTTCAATCTCCAGAATTCACATTTTAAAAAAAGCTTGGTGATACACACTTGTCGTTCCAGCACTGGGCAGGTGGAGACAAGTGGGTTCCTGGGGTTTATTAGTGAGAGGTCATGTCTTTCTTAAAAAAGGTGAATGGCTCCTGAGAATAACATTCAAAGTTGTCCCATGGCCTTCAGGCAGACCTGTTCACATACATGGCCCCTTACATATACATGCTCCTGCACACAGGTACATATACCTACATGCATTTCAAAAAAGAAAAGTGAGTTCTTTAGTTCTAAGTGCTGATTCTGTTTGTTTATACTTTTACTCTTTTTTTCCCTTCTAGTAAGCAACTGGATTTTGAAAAATACAGGCACGCTACTAAAGGAATTTAAGGGTTTTTTGCTTTTGCTTTTGTTTTTAGGTAGTGTCTCATGTAGCTGGCCTTAATGTAACAAAAACTGTCCTTGATTCCTGATGCTCCTACTTCTGCATCTCAAATTCTGGGTTAGAAGCATGTATCACAAAATTTCACACACCTGAAGAAAATTTCATAATGTAATTATGTTAAGTACTTATGTGTTCATGGGGAGAATATCTTAACATCATTTTTAAATGGAAATTGTGCATGGATAACTTGTCTCTCTTGCAATGAGAAAAAAGCTCTTAAGGAAACACATCATCTAGAATGCAGTGAGCTGATGGTCAATTCCATTCTAATTAGTATATGTTTAAAGGAAATAGTGTTCAATAGATGGCCCAACCAGACTGACTAAGTGCTTCTTTCTGGCCATGCAGTACAGCAGTATCTGTAAGAGGGATCTGAAATGTGAGGCCCCTGACAGCCCAGTCAAGGGAGTGATGGTGTGCTCATACAATCTCAGTATTCAGGAGGCAGAAGCAGGAGTTCAAGGTCATCCTTGTCAGAACAGCCATGCTAAGTCCAGCCTAGGATACTTGAAACCCTGTCTCAAGATCAAATCACTTTGTTAACTGCTCAGGCTTTGAATATTAGTTTCCCACTCACAAAGGAGATGGTGATATTTGTCTTGTAAGATTGTTAACATGAACAAGTTCAAAACATACATGAGACGCTTTTAACTAGAAACTGCCATACAAAATTTATAAAGTCAAGCATGGTGGTTCGTGCCTATTCCAGCACTTGCAAAGTTGAGATAGGAGAATTATTATAACTTTTGGATCAGATTGGGTTAAGAGTGAGACCCATTGTCAAGAAATAGGAAATGAAATAAAACCATTCAGGCCTACAAGCCCAGTACTCAAAAGGTAGAGGCAGGTAGATCTCTGTGAGTTCAAGACTGGTCAGATATACATAGTAGATTCTAGGCTATCCAGGGTGATATAATTGAGACAGGAGTTCTAAAAATAGTTGAATAAGAAAACAAAAACATGACTTAAAGGGCTGTGTAGATGGCTCAGAAGACAAAGGTGCTTGCCACCAAAGCTAACATCCTGAGTTCAGTACCCAGCACACACACAGCAATTCTCACAAGTTGTTCCTTGACCCTCATATGAAAGCATGCATGAACAGAGGCACAAATAATAAAGACATAAATGTGATAAAATAATCTTCAAAATGTGTAAGAAGCTCAAAGGTACCAGTAAGAGATGCCACAATGTTTAGTTTATATCCATTTTGCCCTTTTTTTCTTGCTTCCTCTTCACCTGTGTATGTACTTTTAGAAAAGCCTCCATTAGGTGGTAAGCTGCCTGAACCCATCATGAGCACATCACGGCTTGTTCCTGTGTTGCTCTTTAGGTTACACTTAATGGATGCTCAAAAGGCTTTGTTGACAGATCTTCTCCATTGGTCCTTGATGCCAACAGGGAGTGAATAATGGCCACTGTCAAAAGTCTCCTTTCACTTATTCTAAATGTAAAACCTTATGCTACAACCTATGCCTGCGTTCATATTCTATCCCCAAAGCTTCTGGAGAATAGGCAAGTTAGCATCCCCCCCCCCCACCATCACCACCATCATTGCTACCAAACCATCTGGCTGCAAGACAGTGCCCTGGCTATCAATCAAAATCTGACCCACTTCTGATTCTACAGCAAATGGGATTTTCCACCTCCTTAGTTCCAGAAAGCAAGGAGGATCCCACCGGTTCCCTAAAGATTCCTAGAGCTAAGGAGTTCCCAAGGAAACACAATCCTTCCTGGCCAAGGGAGAGGGAAACAGTATCAACGTGAGGCTGCCAACAGAGAAGTGGATGATGAGGATGAAAAATACAAGAGAAAAGACACTTGATTCACAAGAAAGTTAAAAAGTGGCGAATGCCTGGGATGTTGTTACTTCAGAAAACTGAGAAGGTGGCCCACCCTGCTGCTGGTTCACCTCGATGCTGTAACAAGCTGTAACAAAGCCTCCTGTTTAACAGTTGGCGTCATCTCGGAATAAATACTTTTAGAAGCTTACAGAGTAATGCGGAAGTGATGGCCACTAATTAGACACCCTCTTCCCATTCTGTAAGGTGGCTACGGGAATCTGCCCTGTGTGCAGGGTAGTTTTATAACCTTGTGAGTTTTTTAATAGTCGGGCCAAGTGAGGATTCACCTTTTAGGTTTAGAGATGGATATTTTTAGCTTGGACATTTGGGGTCGTCTTTACGGGTATGTTGTGGCTTTCATTAAACAGCCTAGGAAAGCTCTGGCGGTCCTCCAGCCCTGGGTAAACACGTGTGCCCGCAGCCAGTGGCAGCGCTCTGCATTTCAGCACCGCCGCCTGTGGAGAGCGCCTCACCGCAGGGCCGGGTCAGGGCCTCTCAGAATCTTTCTTCCATCCTAGAGCCCTGGCTCTCACCTACTTTCCGAGGAAAAAGCACCACCAACTTCTAACTTCTCAATTCCTGCTTTTAAAGTGACCCCCGCGTCCCTCTCTCAGGGGTCTACAAGCTCACACACCCTGCGCCTTTGGGTCCTACAGGAGCAGCCTCCGAGCCGCGTGGCTTCTGCACTGGTGCGAGAAATTTCCAACCCGCGTGGACAATCGACTCTCTGCTAAACCTTATATATGCCCCCAGACACTGGGACTCGATCTCTCTCACGGTATGCCCCAAACCTCAAAAACAAACTCCTTAAGACGCGTCTCTAGCCCACATGCATCCTCACACTCAAGCCGCAAGGCTGCCGAGTGCCATAGCCGCTTTGGGCAGAACCTTGGCCAACTTGGACCCGGGTCCATCTCTCCAGCTCGTGGACCACCTCCCGCAGCATCCGCCCCGCCCCCTCCCCTTCCTAGGCAGCCAGAGCTAAACCTTGGCCGGTCAGGGGTACCCCTCGCCATCAGTCAGCATCCACCGCTCGGGGCCACACACAGCCACAACCCCCAAACATTTGCCCCTGAGTCTCCAGGAACCGCCAGCCAAACCTGTTAGTTGTCTCCTTGAGACCCCAGTCCCTGTCACTGGTGTGTCGTGTGCGAGTGTTTGTGTCTCTGAGGCACATTTAACTCCTTCGAGCTTTCTGTCCATCCTAAACAAACAGCACGTTATCTCCAACCTCTCTCCTCCCCTCTTCGCACCCCATCCTCTTTCCCCATCCCTACCCTCGCCTGCCAAGTAGTCAAACCTCCGCACCGTCGCACACCAGGGCTCTAACCTGGAGCCCCCACCCCGCCCCAGAGGACATTCACCCCCCAGCCCCGCACCTCCCCCACCCATGGCCCTCAGCGAGGCGATCTAGCCCCAAGCTAGAGAAGCCTGGAAAAACGCAGCCTGCGTAGGCTCTCGCTAGCGGTGATCTCCGGGGCTGACCTGGCACCAGCCAGATCAGCGGACGCACCCCTCAGGAGGGGCGCACGCCTTTCTGCCCAGTCGCCCTGGAAAACCCTGGCATTGGCGAGAGTAGAGCAGCAGAAGCAGCCTCCGGGGTGGGCGGGAGGACTCACCGAACATCTGAATGTGCCCTTTAGTGATGGGATTGAAGCTGCCACAGGCCAGCAGGATAACGTGGGTCTTTGTGGTCTCGGTCATGATGGGAGTAGCTCCCTCGCGCTGGTCCAGGGGTTGCCTCTTTTTGTGTCTCGATATGTCTGCAGACGGAGAAAGGAAGGCGAGGCTCTGGCGGTGGATGCTGTGGACTCCAAGGAGCCGCTCTAGACGCAAACCGCGTCACTCCCCGCCTCCCTTTAACGCTTGCCACTCCGGCGAGATCCTAGGCTGCTTTTGTATTGCTCTCCTCTTGATACTCACTCAGTTCTACTTCCTCCCTAGCTTCGTTCGCTTCACTGGTCCTGGCGCCCGACCCTATCATTTTTATCCTCCCCATCCCACTTCATTGCATCACCCCATCTTAGTTTATCTACAAGGCAAGAACTGACTGGTATCAAATCAGAGCCTTGCGTGCTTACAGCGTGGAGTGCTGGTTATGTCCTGTCTCCTTTAGAGTTTGTTTTCCTATCTTACTCTTTCTCCCGGTCTATATTCCCTAACATAGCCATCGCCAACTCCAAAGATGTTTAATTTATTTTCATGGCCTCAATATCTTAAGTGACAAATGACAATTGTTCAATAATCTTCATTTCTGGCTTTCCCCCCCCTCCCTTATTTAGTGATCCTAAACTATTGAAAGGAGACCAGATCTTGACTTAGTGGCTACTAAGAAATAGTGAGGGGCTGGTCCTTTGTGTGGGTTGGACAATGGATTTCAGCAAATATGAATGAGGAAAATACTAAAGCAAAGTATTAGGAAACTCGCATTCCTTTATCCGCTTATCCCAGGTGAGACAGTTATTATTCCATCCTTTTTTCCGGAGTGTTCACTCTCCAATAGAGGCTATTATGAACCCCTTTGAAGGAGCAAAGCATGTCTCTTCATCAAGTTGTCATTCTACAACAGGGAGGGTAATAATAACCAGAAAGAATATTAGGTACAATTGTGCAAACATTATAAATGAATTAACTGATTCTCTGGCAGAAGAACAACTAGGTGGTGTGGGAAAGCCTCCCTGGGGACACGGCATTTAAGGTGAGTCCATTTAGTCAAAGAGTCAGTAGCACGGATATTTAGAGACAGGATAGGGCTTCCTATGCTCATGAACATGAAAAGAGGTGCATGGAACTGGAAGTCTTGGGCAGGTTGGAAACCAGTAGTAGAGAAGTGGGCGCCAGTCATCACATGGGGCTAGGGCAATGGGCCAGAAGTTTTTCTGAGTCACTAACTTACAGTCGAATAAGTAAAGGAAGGCCCTGAAACCTTTAAGCAGGAGGGCACTGTGTAATTTACATTTTCATGAGATCGCTGGCTGTTCAGAGGAAAAGCAAATGGGAAGATGAGAATGTAAGAGGAGGATGGCAGCTGCAGACAGGTGGTACTGTCCTGGGACTTAGAGGAGGAGGAGACTAAGCAGTGGCAGGATAAACAGAGTAGATTTACAGATGGATGGGATATAGAGAAGTCCAGGAACATGCCTTAAATTTTGAGTTAAGCAAATGAGTGGGCCAAGATTCAGAAAAATGAATAGGGGGAAAGGAAAGGCTTGAAGAACGGTCAAATGTTTTGTTTAGATGCAATATCTAACCAATAATTAGCTTAGTGATTCAGAAGCAAAAGTATTACTTTCCCAGGCTTCAAGTTTTTAACAGTTCATTGCAAGAGTCTGTTCTCTCCTTCTACATTGTGAGTTCCAGTAGTTGAACCCAGGTCCTGAGACTCTGTAATGAGTGTCTCTGCCTGCTCAGCCTTCTTACTATTCCTGCTCTTTAGTTATTATCTAAGAATTTGTGGTGGGTGTGCAAGGAGTATTTCTCTGCTAAACAGTGAACCAATCTCTACTATGGAGAAATTTTCTAGTTTATTAAAATGTTTATTACTTTGTACACATGTACATGAACACACACACACACACTACAGCACTATTATAGAGCTCAAAAGATAACCCACAGTAGTCAGCTCTCTCTCCTCCCTCCCTCAGTGTGGGTTCTTGGGATGGAACTCAGGTCATCAGCTTTGGTGACAAGTGTCCTTACCTGATATGCCATATTACTGGCCCCAAAGTGTCTAGTTTCAACATAAGAGTCTTAAGAACCAATATAAAATGCAAATTAGTGGGGCAGAAAGAGCAAGAGATTTTATAAGCTGGGCAATTAACATAATTATAGCCAAGCAATAAATATTTATTGAATGCCTGCCATATAGCAAGCACTGATTTAGGAGTTGTGCACAAAATGAATTTAGCTCAGCTCACACTCTAAGCAAAAACAACAGACCATTAAAATGAAGAGATGCACTAATAATCAGATCATATAGAAATATAAAACAAGAGGAAGAAACAGAAAGGGGTCAGGGATAGACAGGCTTTTTGATGAGCTAATATCTGAACAGCAACTTCAATCATACAAAGGATCATGTTGCATGAACATTTGGGGGTGAATATACAAACAGAATGGGAGTAGAAAGGATCTGAGGAGCAAGAGTATTTAGGGGTGCTCAACATACAGCAGCAGTATGGCTGAAAAAGAAAGAATGAGGAAAGAGTTGGGAATGACCAGCAAAGTAGGACAGGGTGTGGAAGACCTCACAGGCTTCCAGTGGGGCTTAGGTTGTTTCGGTGAGAGAGAGAAAGGAAGCCACAGCAGTTGATTCTGAGTAGAGCAGTGACATGAGCTGGCTCACATTTGGAGAGATCTGTTTGGCAAGAGACATACATTTTGGAGTTGTTAGTATAGAGTATTTTTAAAGTCATGGGATTGAATGAGGTCACCTAGGGAGAAGCAGATATAGAGAAACAACAGGAGGCCCTCAGATTCATCCCAGAGCACAACAGATTAGTAACAGTAAGTACATTCAGAAATCCTTGGACTATGTATGCACTGTTTGATTTACCTCACGTTTTATAAATCTCGAAGTGCATCCCATTTTAGGGAGGAGCATGTAGAAGCACAGAGAAATGAGCGACTTGAGCTCAGACAGCTGGGATGTTCAAAGCCAGCTGCACCTGCTGGTCATTTTAATGTAAGGCTCTGTTCTGCATCCACCACTACTCTCCTTTTGCTTTGCTTTTTATGCCAGAGCAGTCATATTTGGATATTTATTTGGTTTAAGTTTATTTTATTTTTGGCTTTTCAAGACAGGGTTTCTTTGCATTGCTTTGGCTCCTGTCCTGGAACTTTCTCTGTAACCAGGCTGGCCTGGAACTCACAGAGATCCTCCTGCCTCTGCCTCCTGAGGACTGGGATTAAAGGTGTATGCCACCAACACTCTGCATTTGGTTTTTCTTTATCCTTCTTTCTTGCTTCTTTGGGATGGAGGGATAGGGTCTCCTGTAATTCAAGCTTGCCTTGAACTGACATGGAGCTGAGAATGATCTTGACCTCTGGAATCTTCTGCCTCCAGTTCTCAAGTGCTAGGATTACAGACACGCACTGCTATGTACAGCTACAAGCTATATTATTATTATTTGTGGTGGTGGTGGTGGTGGTGTGTGTAGAGGTGTGCATAGTCCATTTATCTGAGGGTCAAAATTGGTTCTCTCCTTACCTTTATGTAGGTTCAAGGATCAAATTCAAGTTCCCAAGCTTGCATGGCAAATACCTTTTCTGAGTGGACCATCTCACTGGTCTTTGGCCACATTTGAAAAGTAAAGTTAATAGTATCCACCTAGACACAAAGATATGCTGGTCATTGCTGACATAGGTGGAACACTGAGTGCATACTGATGGTTAAGGAGAATGCTTAGGAGAGACAGGAGGAAAGCAGGTTTATAATACAGCTCAGTCAATACATTTTCAGCCTTGTAGGCTATGCCTTAAGCAACAGTTCAAATTCTAAACTTAGTGTATGAAACTAACAGTGTCTCTTTTTAAAGTCCTTTATAAAATAATTAATAGTTCACATTTATTAATTGGGGAGGGGCAAGACATGCACCTAAAAATCAAAGGACAATCGTGGGATTAAGTTCTTTCCTTCTACCCTGTGGGTTCTGGGGACAGAACTCAGATCAGCAGGCTTGTGGTAAACAGCCTTGTTTACTGAGTTCACTGGCTCTGTAGTAGTCTCTTGCACTCTTCCTGTTCTTGTCTATATTTACATATGCCTGGTAAGGGCTCCGGGACTATAATGCGGAAACACGGAGGCTGGGGCTAAGACTGTAGTTCAGTTGTTGGGGTTCCCATGCTGCATGCACAATTCTCTGGGTTTGCTCCCCAGGGTGATGTAAACTGGGTGTGATACACACAATGAGTGCAAGTTTTAGGCCAGCTTGGGATGTATGAAACTGGCTAGAAAAAGGAAGAGAACACAAAACCAAAAACAAAACAGAGGGTAGGATGTGGCTTACTGGCTCAGACACTTGCTAGTTAAGTGGCTTTGGGAAATTTCTTCTTTGCTAACCCTTTATTTTCTCAAGTGGAATGGTGCCTATTTCGAGGCTGTACAAAAATAGCAATTATAACATACAGTTAAGATTGCCTAGATCCTGCCAGATAAACACATTAACATTCATTTCAAACTATTGTCCATACGATGGATGCTACAGTGCATAGACTGTGTATTGCAGTGTGGGTCACAACAGTGAATAAAGGGCAGTTTGATTTTTGTTTGTTGATTTGGTTTTGCTTAAGGCATATTGTCAGTGTTATGCCAAATTGTTCGGCATGAAAAAAATGTACCCATTGTTTTTAAGTGTTTTCGTTTGTTTTCTTCTATTGGTAGCTATAAAGGATGTTTCTGAATGAAACAATCACAGAAAGGAATGGCTTTGAGGATGTGTCAATAATTTGTATACCAACTAGTGAAACTAACTAGCCAGGGACATTAACATTAATGAAGACTCCAACACTAGTTACTAAGATGCAGAAGTAGGGGAAATAGAGAATTAGGGATACCACTTTTCATATAATATTTATACTGCTCTATTTCTAGGGGTGCTTATTTTAACCAAGCTAGTATAATTTGATCTAATATTTCAACTTTCTGGCAGCTGGAAATTGCTTTAGGCTGAAAGGGAGTCAGATGCTCTCCCACTACCTGAGCCTTGCGATTTGATCCAATCAGGTGAACCTCCAAATGGCTTAAGAAAGCCTGTTCCCCCAGTACTTTCCTATGGTAAATCCCACCCTGGTGGGGCAAGGCTTACATGTCTATTGATATAAAATATGCATGTGTAAAGTCAGCTCACGCATGCT